CAACAACTTAATGGCCAACAGCTCCTTATTGATGAAAATTCTCTTCTCCCATCAGCGACGCAACTAGGGGTGTCAATATTTGACACGACACGAAAATCCGACTCGAACCCAACCTGAAATTTTCGGGTTAGACCCGACCCATTTGCAAAACGAGTCGGATTCGGGTTCGCAGATTCGACCCGTTTGAAAAACGGGTTGGATTCAGGTTGACCCGACGGGTTGCCGGGTTGACCTAGCAACCCTTTTAAAATGACTGCCCGGCTGCCCACGGACATGTCCGCACCATGCCCGCAGCTGCGCAAGCTCGAGGCGGCCCGCACACACGCGCGCGTCCTTGCGACTGTCTGTGCGTTGGTGCTGCTGCCCGCTACCGTGCCTGCGCACCAGACATGCGCTGCAGCACACGCCGCTCTACATCTTCATATCGAACAGCATATACTCTATTTTGAGTTTCACTCATCATTTTAGCAACCATCGTAGCAAACTGCGAAATTGTATCAGAACCAACCACTGGGGCAGTTCTGTTCACATAAGCTGCCTGATTAGTACTCTGTCCATCAGTCATATCTGGGTCTGGCAGATCCATAATCACACATAATGCAACTATGCACAAGCATATAAAACAACAATAATAAAAATCCAAACAAACAGAAACTACCCCACCAGACTTACAGATCAATTCCTATAGCTCTGTCTTACCATCCAAATTTCAAAACCATTGCTCTGATATCAATAAAGATTTGTCACGACCCAACCCGACCGGAGCGAATTCCTTTATGTCGGGCCGTGACAAATGTTGAAATCCAGGATCTAGTTTTGGAATTTGCTTCAGACATTCTTCCAAATTTCAAACATACAGAACATAAAACACAGAGCTACTATAACTTCCAAATATACAGAGCAGTTCATATATTATTTTCTCCTTTCATCAAAATAATCATGTACAATACAGTGCTTGACTACCGATAGAAATAACAGAATAGAAAAGTCATGACTGGACAAAAATCAAAAGTACAAAATATCTAATCACTGATCAGACACAGAACTGCTAGTCCAAGATTTCATTCCCTTTCCCAGAACTTGAAAATCATGCAGATAACAAGGATGAGCTAACAGCTCAGCAAGACTACAATCGCCAAACAAAATATCTAGAAATTCACAACTAAAAAATACATCAGAATAGTAGCCATACAGAATTCGGATAATCATATAGAGTAGATATCGAACAGAAATCAAATAACTGGTACAGAAGAACTGAATTCATATCACATAGCAGAACATTCAAATCAAATTTCACAGAACAAACAGAATCGTACGGAGCAGATTTCAAATCAGATAAAATCACATTTCAATATCTGATCACATATCACATAACACATATCAGATTCCCGGACCCTGACAGAATCTCAACGGATTCTGGCCCCTTATGCCTCCCTTCCCTGACACAGACAAAATCTCAACGGATTATGGCCCCTTATGTCTCCCTTTGTGCTTATAGCACCAGAACGGAACAGATATACAGAATTTTCAGAACAGAACTTGTTTTCTTTTTAGATTTCCCTGACACAGACATAATATCAAAGAATTCTGGCCCCTTATAACTCCCTTCTGATATAACAGCACATCAAAGCTTTCAATTCAGAAAATCAAATTTCGTTAGAAAAATCATCAACAGCATAACGGCGGTATACGGAATTTACACAGAATTCACAGATTCAGAAATTTACCAAGTTACCACAAATAATACAAAACATCATTGTAAGACTTGTATTGTACTGAAGCAACATTTTTTCAACATCCAGATAATTCGTAGTTCGATTAAAATGTCTCATAATCCAAAATATATGGTAAAAATCTTCCATAAAATACTCAAAACGTGCACAAACATCATCTCAGAAACATACCAAAAGTTACGCAGCAAAGAGTTCGTCAGTGCGAAAAGAAACCAAATATTTGCTAACAAAAATAAAATCCAAGACAGAAAAGTCGTCAAAATTCCCGTTTCTGAAAATTGAGAAAGGCGGAATGTGCCTTACCTCGAGTCGGTTAACTTTTTCAACTACAGCAACGGACGGAAACGGACCGAAGTCGCCCAAAAATCACTTTTCTTCCTTTTTTCTTTGATTTTCTTTCTTCTGGCTTTTCTCTCTCTTCAAAAAGATCTCAAACTATTATATATGCATGGAGATCGTCATGGAGGATCCAAAATCGTCCCGGGATGATTTGCCCACTGGACAAATTTCGTTCAGACGAAATAGTTATCATTCTTGGACGAGTTGCTCTCTGGACAAATTTCGTACGGACGAACCCTACTTCGTCCTGGGACGAACTTCTCTGTCACTTGATTTTGAACTGATCGTCCCGGACGAACCTTGAAGGAAAAATGGCTTTCACACCCGTGACCCGAAATTGACACCCCTAGTCGCAACATCTCACAACCTGCACGATCTCGATTGTAATTGTTGTCTCATTCTTCTTGAGATAATTTTGTGCAAATTTATGTTCGAAGCTTCTAGATCTTTCCAGTGATATCTTAAATGCAAGCATTCAAAACTCAATTCACAAACTATTAATTAAATTTTTCTTATGTTATTTACTATTTTACATATCATTGTTTGGTGTAATTTTTTTTAATGTTATTGAATGGCGATTAGACTTCATTAAAACAAATATTTAAAATGAAAAATGTTTAGGGATTTCTAAGAAAATAATTACGATATTAAACATATTTGTTTGCTATGCAAGTTGGATTGTTGAGAGAACAGAAAGCTAACACATAATTTGTAATTTACATACTTTTGATAGCGATGTGTCATAAATCTATTATATATGATTTGAAGATTGGAAGGTAAATTCTTGCATATGATGTTGCTTCTAATAAGAATGTGTTTATTATAAACCTTACTTTGAATGAAAAACATGTGCTGATAATAATGCTACGCTGTGATAATCTATCTAAAATCTAAGGATTAGGTTTTGTTTGGAATGACTTTTATTCTGCTTCTTAAAGCAGCTTTTGAGTACAAAAATTTTAATTTTTGTACTAAAAAGTTCATTAAAAGCCGTCTCAAATAAAACCTTAGGTTTCGTATGAGATTGCTTTCTTCCTGCTTCTTAAAGCGGCTTTTTAGTACAAAAATGAAAATTTTTGTACTAGAAAGCCGCTTTAAGAAACAGGAAGAAAGCCGTCCCAGACAAAGCCTTAGTTTGGGGCAGCTTTCTTACTGCTTTCAAAAGCAATTTTTTAGCACAAAAATTCATTGGAAGCAGCGAAAAGCTGACCCAAATGAAGCCTAAATATTTTATCCATTAACCAGATTGAATCCAATAGGTTTTATCATTTATGAAAATAGCACATTAGTTGACAAACTAATAAAGGCATGTTTTTACTAATGTCTTGCATTTGACTCAAACGGGGTGAATTGTATATTAGAGTATTTTAATAAAATCTATATAAATAAAAAACTAAAATATTTCAATATAAAAAAAACATTTAAACTTAAATGTTTTGTTTACAAAAAAATATAACCTTTGGTAGTATTTATTTTTTAGTTAAATATTTCTCTTTTAGTTTTGGATATCTCATCTTCCAATTTCAACAAAAATTATATCAAAATATAAGGTTATATATATTTTTTCCCATTTCAAATAAGTTATTTGTTTAATAAGCAATGCTTCTTGAAACCACTAGGATGTAAGTGAGCCGAGCCGGATCGACCTCAGCTTGTTGACGAGATCATGAGTCAAGTTTATCGAGCAACAAGTTTGAGCTTGAGCTCATACTCGAGCTCATATATTAAACGAGCTCAAGCTAAGCGTGACTAAAATTGAAAGCTCATTGAGTCGCTAGATTAACTTTAAATATATTTAGAAATTAATTTAAATTTTAAAAATTAAAAATTTTAATTTAAAACTAAGAAACCGAGCTCAAAGTCAAGCTCGAGCTTTCCAAATGAGCTAGAGCAATCAAGCCGAGCTTTCCAAATGAGCTAGAGCAATCAAGCCGAGCTCGAGCCTATAAATTTTTTAAAAGAGTTGAGCTTGAACTTAATAAATATAATAATTTTAAAAGGAAAAGTTTTTTTTTTTAATAAAAAATATTGATAAATTTTTTTACATTCCAAGAAAATATTAAAAATAAAATTTAACCATCTTCTTATTTTTATTAAATATAATTTATATTTTTACGTGAGAATCTGAATCGCTGCATACAATTTCTTCCCGCACTGAACCGGCCCGAGTTGGCGGTCTCTCGGCTCTATCGCGAGAAACCTCCCAAAAACCCTAATCGAGAAAACTCAGCGCTCGCTTCCATGGCGAAATTGAAGATCCGCGATAAGAAAGTGAAGATTGCCATCACGAAAGATAAGAAAAAGAAGGTAGGCTTCTCCTGTTCCTCCAATGATTGGCCTATTTGTTCTTCATTTTTTTCTCATTTGAGTTCTTCTTGCACTGTCTTCATTGTAGTTATTTGTTTGAAATCAGGATAAGGCAGACCCAGAAGCCGTACCTGAGCTACCAGCTGAATATTCTTCTCCCACTCGTGACGAAGAACACTCCGATTCGCGTGATGTTTCCCAATCTTCGGATTCTGAAGTGCGAGCTGAATATCTGTTCCAATATTTCTTAAAGTTTACCTTTTAATCGATTTTTTTGGTTACTTTTATTGCAGCTTTCATGTGAGATTAATGAGGTTGAAGGCAATGATTTGCATCATCCAGCCGAAGAGAGTGATTCCTCTGAGGATGAGGTTGTCTGTTGTGCTCATTTTGATTCCTTGAAACTTATTAGAAATATTATTCTTACAAGTTTATTATTTCTTTAATTTTAAAGGTGGCTCCTAGAAATACTATCGGTGATGTCCCATTGGAATGGTATAAGGATGAGGAGCATATTGGGTATGACATAGCTGGGAGGAAGATCAAGAAGCATGCCCGGAAGGACAAGATCGAATCTTTCCTAGCTGGTGTAGATGACTCGAAAAATTGGTGAGTATGGAATTTTGTTTTGTTTTGTTTTCCTAATCCCTTGAGTGCATCCACGTGTATTGGATTTTGCTTGTTTTTAAACATTTTCATTATAGTTTCTCTACTTTTTAGAATGCGCCATGAATAATCTTTGAATATGTTGGAGCATTGTTATGACTATTCTTTAATAATTGCTCATTGTCTTGAAGTATGGTATGCTTAGCTTATAATAGTATGTAGCACATAGGCTCGGTTAGTTTTCTTTGGATATATGTTCAAGTCGCTGAAGCAAGATTTGCTTTTCTAGTTAGCTGATAGCTATAGCAGGAAGCATAACCTTAAGCTCGGTAGTTTAAAAGCATATTTGTTCTTTTTTTGTTCAAGCTTGTATTTTTTGGACCCAAACTTTCCTGCAGTTTGCAGAGTCTTTGATTAATGATAATATTATCAATCCACTCTAACTTCTTCTTGTATTATTGTTCACTTTAATTAAGACATTGATAATTATTTTGGTTGAAGTGTATTTTTAACTTTAATGCCAATTATTCTTTCGATATAAATCCACACTATTTGGCATTGTTACCACAATCAATGAAATTGTTCAGAATCCCCAATTAGAACATAATAGCTACTACACACTCAGTTTAGCCGATAGGAACCCCCACCTCTAGTGGAGGTGAGGTTCAACTTATCAAGGCAAGCTTTTGACCGCACTTTAGCATGATATATTTAAATTATACTGGAAACATTTTATTTCATCTTTTGAATAAATTTATGATCATATTGAAGCTCATGAAATGTAAAACATACAAGTCTCAAGAAAGAATTAGGCTAGGGCTTATGTTACCCTCAATTCTTCTATTATCTTTATTTCTCTCATCTTCCTTGAACAAACAAGGAAGTTGGAGGCTGAGACTTCAACATGAACGAATTTATGCTTTTGTTGAATAGCATAATCTATGATTCCACTAGGGCCGCATGCCTCACAATTAATCAATTTGGTGAACATGAAGAGTATATTGTGAAATAACCTTTTTTAGGTTCTTATCTTAATAACCTACTATCCTATAATAGGGATTTTTTTTTAAAAATTATTAAATTTCATTACTAGTAAGGAACTCAACTAGATTGCACATGGATTTGGGTTTTCTTTTGGTTATTTTGCACCTTAAAAAATCCTTCCAATTTGATAGCTAGATATTTTAACCTGACTTTGAATAATATGCAATAACTTTGGTAAGTGGATCTCTAGACAATATTTTCTCTAGCATGGTGATTGATTTAGTGATTGAGGAAGCATATGGATTTATTAAACTTCCACAATCATGTCAGACTGGTCTAAATTTAAATCTTTTGTACAACCCTCTTATGATGCAGGCTTCTTTTGGTATAATATTCTCCTTAAATTTTTAGATAAGTAATTTTAGTTTGCATGGAAGCACCGTTGTAAAATGTTCGTTTGCATGTGCATTCTCTATATGATTTCTTGACACATGAACCAATTTATGATATGACTCATAAGTCTATATGAGATTAAAGGTTTTGTCATGTAACATAATGTATAAGGGTGTTAAAGCGGGTTGATGGGTTAGATTCGGGTTTGACCGGAAGTTGCCTCGAACCGAATTCAGTCAACCTAAACCCGGCCCGTTTAATAAATAGGTTAAAAATTAAAACCCAATCTTGACATGTTAGCAACCCAAATGACCTGAACTCAAACCGTTAGCCCATTTTATCTTTCTATAACTCATTTACTATATAGTTGAAGATATTTGATCAGAAATAAGAAGATTATACACTCATAAGTAAAAAAAAAAAGATATTAAATGATTTATTTTTGGGTCAAAAGCGGATTCATGGGTCATCCCGAACCCTACTAGTTTAATAAACGATGCATAAAAACTGAAAACCCAACTTGTTCCTGACCCTTTTATTAAACATGTCAACCTAACTCATGTTTTTTGAGTCGAGTTGATAGGTCATATCATTTATTGTCACCCTTAATAATAGAAATATTGCATCAAAAAAATTCTACGAAATAAAATGTTAAGCTTTATTATCATTATACTTTTTTTGTCCATCATTGTCTTGCTTATTTGGGTACTTGTAACTACTTTCATATCCCATCTCGTTAAATCTCATAAATTTATTTTCCTTGACACTCCTTTGCATATAAATCTCAAAACCATGTGGAGATATTTTTATTATGTTATGAAAATTAAATATTATATTATTGTGAGCATTGTGTCAAATATTATATTAAATGCTTTAGCTTGTATGCAATACTGAGGTGTGTCGGAATTCCTCAACTTCAGCCTTTTTATTTTTTTTATTTTTTATTTTTCTTTCATGTGTTTACTCAACATCATTTTCCTTTTCATCTGCACAGGTTTCATGCTTTTATTAGTTTCTGAGCCTCCCTCTTATTTTTAGTACCAATTACTCCTAGTTTTTGCATTATTCATAACCACACTCTTAAAATGCACTATATCAGTTTTAGCAAATGGTGCACTTTGCCCTTGGCGGTGGAACTGGATATAGTCCTTAAAATATAAATGTAGGGCATGCCATTCAAGTTCAGTTAAGAGTTTTATCCACTAATTTCACTATATATGATCAAGGTATAATTTTAAGGATTATGCATTTTTGGCTTGTGCTACATATGATTCAAAGTTCAAAACATTGATTTGCTATCTACAATAAATGGAGTATTATGATTAAGATATAAAAAAATAAGTGTGATAACTGTTCATTCACCTTGAGGGCAAATAGTGGATATAATGGGCATTTTGTATTATACATGAAAGCAAGTAATAGCAAAATACTATCCTGAGAGGAAATACTTGCAGAAATTGAACAATTTTTGGCTGATCTACAATAAATGGAGTATTATGATTAAGATATAAGAATAAATGTGATAACTCTTCATTCACCTTGATTACAAATAGTGGATATAATGGGCATGTTGTATTGTACATGAAAGCAAGTAATAGCAAAATACTATCATGATAGGAAATCCGTGTAGAAATTGAACAATTCTTGGCTGAAATTGGGAATTTCAGCAAGAACGAATAGAATTTTAGGAAAATTTGGTGGCAAATCACTAAGAAAAGTTGATAATTGCTCAAATATGGGAGAAAACAAACAAGATACAATGTATCTTCAATTTGAGAGGAAGATCTGACTCTCCTAATTCCTAGCCGGCGGTTAGGGACTAAGCAAACCCTGAGAGAAATACAAGTTCAGCAAATCCAAAACATAACCTTTAACTCTAGGGACAAAAATCTACTTAAAGCAAAGCACAATTACCATTATAATCCCTAAATAACCCCTTACTTTTGAATTTTTCCTCCCAAACTCATCCTTAATTAATGTTTAATTGACTGTTGGGCTCCACCACAGAATTTCGCCCCCTACGGGGTGGAACCGGTGTTCTGCCTGGTGTATACATGAATCGGTCCAGGGTGGACTGATCTAATAATACCCCCTTCCCAAGGAACCACCTTGTCCTCAAGGTAAAAATATGGGAATTGATGCTTCACCCTTTCGTATAGCTCTCAAGCGGCGTCATAGTCGGGTAGACTCTTCCATTTAATTAACACTTCCTTAATCACCCCTTCTATTCGTACCCCTTTCAGCTCAAGAGGTTCCAACACCACCTCTAACTCATCAGTCAATGTCATTGGTAATTCTGAACAAATTGCCTGCTCCCCTAGAGGTCTCCTCAACTGTGACATGTGGAGCACTAGATGTATGGTAGCGATCGGGGGTAATCTCAAGCGATAAGCCAATGCTCCAATATTCTCCAATATCTCATAAGGGTCAAAATACCTCGAGGCCATCTTCTCGTTCCTCCTATTAGCTACTGTCCTTTGTTTGTAGTGTTGCAGTTTTAAAAACACCCTATCTCCCACTTCTAACTGGATGTCCTTATTGTGTTCATCCGCCTGCTTCATAATCTATTGTGCCCTCGACTGGTGTCTTTTCAGTTCTTCTAACATCTTATCTCTTTCCTTCAAGTAGTGCTCTACTGAAGAGATTGGTGTGCTCCTCTGCCCAAAATGCACTAAGTGTGAGAGGTCTCTTCCATACAACATTTTGGAAGGGACCATCTAGCAAGCTGAGTGATATGAAGTGTTGTACCAGTACTTCGCCCATGCTAGCCATTAACTCACAACCGAGGTTTCTCTAAAGCAAAATACCGGTAGTAAGTCTGTAGGCTCTTATTTGCCACCTATGTCTACTCGTTCTTGAGGGTGGTAATCGATGCTTCTCTTTAGAACTGTTCCTTGTAACTTAAACAACTCTCTCCAGAACTGATTGAGAATCACCTTATCTCGGTCAGGTACTATCAACTCCAGAATCTTATGCAATCTGACAACCTCTTTTATGAATGTTACTGCTACTGTAACTACCGTGTAGGGGTGTCATAAGAGAATGAAATGCACCATGAATTATGCACCCCAAAATGGCCCCATAATGACCACCTCTCTGATGAATACTTGCTCAACCTGTCAACCACCACTAGAATTCTCCTTTCGATTCAATTCTATTCCTAATCCTTTGTATTTCTTCTACACCGGTGCACCCCAAAATGGCCCCCAACAGTGCTCCCATGGAACTCCTGTAGCGGGTGGGGAATATGAATTGAGATCCGTGACAGCACAAACCTCTCCTAGTGCAATTGTCTCGCCTCCTCTAAAGAATAGCCAGGGTGACTATTCTCATCTTTTAGTAGCTTCGCCCTAATCCCCCTTAGCCCCTCATATTACATGCTCTCTTCTTTAGTAGCCCCCCAATTTAGCATTAGCAGCACTGAAATTGCTAACTCTTTGGGCTCCCTAGCCTATACTGGATCTCAGTCGCCTTGTTCTCTATTCTTAGCCTATACTGGATCTTAAAGTCATAGCCCAACAGCTTTGACAGCCATCGCTGATGTTCCTCGATCACCATGCTTTGCTCCAATAAGTACTTCGAGCTCCGTTGATATGTCCTGATGATGAAATGTCAGTTCAATAAGT